AGACACCTGTGGAGAAGGTCTTTACAGATGGATTGGTAGCAACAGGTCAGTGAGACACCTGTGGAGAAGGTCTTTACAGATGGATTGGTAGCAACAGGTCAGTGAGACACCTGTGGAGAAGGTCTTTACAGATGGATTGGTAGCAACAGGTCAGTGAGACACCTGTGGAGAAGGTCTTTACAGATGGATTGGTAGCAACAGGTCAGTGAGACAACTGTGGAGAAGGTCTTTACAGGTGGATTGGTAGCAACAGGTCAGTGAGACACCTTTGCAGAAGGTCTTTACATTTAGATTGGTAGCAACAGGTCAGTGAGACACCTGAAGACAAACGACTGACATCTCCCAAAATGTCATCCTTTTCGACAGATGTCATGACGAAGTAGGCAGTGTTTATCTATTGTCATGAAGGCTCAGCTTAAAGCATCTATGAAAGAATACTGTTTGTGAATTTTGACTGTTTTGTTTTATGTATACCATTTTGTGCCACTAATCTCACCCACATAAAATTATTAATTACTGGAAGTCGTTGAAAATAGTTTGGTGCATTTAAAATTAAACAGGGAAGTTACCGGTTGTGTTGAAAATCTATTAAACAGGCAAGTTACCGGTTGTGCGGAAAATCTATTAAACAGGTCAAGTTACCGGTTCTGTGGAAAATCTATTAAACAGGCAAGTTACCGGTGGTGTTGAAAATCTATTAAACAGGGAAGTTACCGGTTGTGTTGAAAATCTATTAAACAGTCAAGTTACCGGTTGTGCTAAAAATCTATTAAACAGGTAAGTTACCGGTTTTCTGGAAAACTTATTAAACAGGCAAGTTACCGGTTCTGTGGAAAATCTGTTGAACAGGTAAGTTACCGGTTCTGTGGAAAATCTATTAAACAGGTAAGTTACCGGTTGTGTGAAAAATCTGTATTATTGCTCACACAAATACTTTTGGTCTCACACTTAGTAGCCTACACAGTTACCTAAGTCGAGTTTTAAATTCGTTTCTGTTTTATTTATTTATTTTCAATATTTCTAGATGCTTATTACCAACAGGTTTTATCTGTTAGTAAACACATAATATAAAGAACTGTAGCTACATAATCAATGGATGTAGGTCATATAAGCTACGATTACCACGAACCGTACAAACTAAGACTCGGACATGAACTATAACTGACAACCACAAACAGTTCGATAAAAAGCGGACATTTTCATTGTATGCCTTACTGTTAGGCTTACAACGAGCTAGTTATATTAATGTCATTGTTGTTGCACGTTTGTTTTTAAAGTTGTCAAATATTAATTACTTTTGAAAGAGGATATAAAATTAAAAATATATATTAAAACATTTTAAGGCCGGGTTGATTCACATAGGATTTATTTTTAACTCTGAAGTTAAGAGTATACTTGTTTTTACTGTTACCAGTTGTTTGTCAGTGGCAGTTTTTTCATGTATATGATTCTTTAAAAATTTACGTTGTTTTTTGATTCACATTAAAGACTTTAATTGAAGAACCATAGATGTGAATATAAAGGTCCTGGAAAGTGCAATATAAAAATATTTTATCAATAGACTTCTGTGTAAAAGACATTTGTTTTAAAACTGAAATCAGTTTCGCCAATATTCTTCTTTGTAATACGGTTTTATAATCTGAATTTGTTCAAGTTTTATGGATAATATTTTATCATCCTGATATTTTTTTGTCTGCCTGTAAGATTACGAAAAAAAAAAGTTGTGATTTTTTTTTATTTTGTGGATATTTCTTTAAAAGAGTTTATACGTGTTTTCGAGTGCTTTGTCTTATTGGACTTTTTGTTTTAAAGTTTACACATTTTATCCAGAGATGGCGCTTTTGATTTATTAATAACAACCTTCTACCATTGAGAGAAGATTAGCTCCAAGAAACTTTACAGCTGTATTTGAAAATAAATGATAAACTGGGGGTTATAGAGAAACTTCTCGTCGCATTAGTGTACCATGTTTGGTTTTATACTCTAATATTTTATTGAAGAATTCCACGTGGTTTGTTTTTGTCCTGTGTCAGATGAACACTAGTGTGGCTTACTTTCAACTTCGGTCTTTTGTTATTGTCTGTTACGAAGTTTGAGAGAGACAAGCTTAGGGCTATCAGTGTTAGGGATGGTTCTCGTTACACTAAGTTAATATACATATTTCTGACGGTTGTACAAATTTTGGAGGTTTGTGTTATTTTACAACATATATATATATATATTAACGTGGATTACACTACACAGTACCTTCATTACAATAACTTATTTAAAGTAATACATAGTAATATGTTTGATATTACACTACACAGTACCTTCATTACAATAACTTATTTAAAGTAATACATAGTAATATGTTTGATATTACACTACACAGTACCTTCATTACAATAACTTATTTAAAGTAATACATAGTAATATGTTTGATATTTCACTACACAGTACCTTTATTACAATAACTTAATTAAAGTAATACATAGTAATATGTTTGATATTATAATATATTTGATGTATAATAATATCCACTTCAACTATTAAGATCGAAGCAGCAGTCTTTCATTCAGAAGCTTCCCGTGAACGTTTCTGTAATATTATTCGTTCAGTTTTTCAACCAGCTGGTTGAATTAGAATTACAGAACGTGTGAAGACTTATTCTGATGTAAAAAAAAGACTTTGATTTCTGTTTCGTTGTTTCCTAACTATTCACCTGCTCACTTGTAGGTGTGAAAATATAATTTGGAATAAAATTCGCACATTTCATTATTTTTTAAAGTGTAAACTTTTTCTCAGCTTCTGTATTAGTCTATTTAGTAGCAGTGAGGGTGGACAGAAGCTGGTCAAGTGTTATTAGATACAAAACATATAATCTTTCTTCACCTTTAAGAAGTGTATGTGTAATTTTTTAATTATCAAAAAAGCTGACATTATTTTAAGCCATCTTTGCACAGCTTCGCGAAGGTCTGATGCTGTTTCATAGTACCAACCTCTGAGTCTCATTAGTCAATCAAACAATATAATAAAATCTTATAGCCAATCAAACGATACAGTAAAACCCTATAGCCAATCAAACAATACATTAAAATTCTACAGCCAATCAAACAATACATTAAAATTCTATAGCCAATCAAACAGTATAATTTAATCCTACAGCCAATCAAACAATACAGTATAATTCTACAGCCAATCAAACAATATATTAAAATATGTTAGGCCTATTGTTACCTCGACATTCTTTATTCGGTACCTTAGGGTATTTCAGGAAGAATGATGTATAACATTGCTTTAACATATCCATCGACTGCTTAGAAACGTCGTTCACACCATAAATAATTGTTGTTGAACCGTCTTTATTGTATCCCAGCCGGCCTGATGAGCTCTGTATTGAGCAAAACGCGTCGTCAACAATAGATGGTGTGATTGAGGTATCATTGTATACATTTTCTTCGTGAAAAACCCATGTAACCAAATGAAAAATATAATTCGGTCTTATGACAAGTATTACTATAATCATGCTTGGCCAGCTTAGAAAAGGTGCTCATACTACACACAATAAAATAAACGTGATTGAGTAAAAAAATCGAGATAAATCAAAATATGGGAAAGAAAGTACAACATAGAAACTACTGGTTAAAGAAACGAGAGAACGTGGGGGTGGGCGTAAAACTTAGGTGATGGTAAATACCGAAAACAAACTGTTTTTAATTCTGACCGGGAAAGGGTTGTTAGAATATAAATAAGTCGCTGTTTTATGTGAATAACGTTCAGTTGGAGCAGACCATAAGACAACTAGTGTGAAGTACGTTCAGTTGGAGCAGACCATAAAACAACTAGTGTGAAGAACGTTCAATTGGAGCAGACCTTAAGACAGCTGGTGTGAACTAGTGTGAAGAACGTTCAGTTGGAGCAGACCATAAGACAACTAGTGTGAAGAACGTTCAGAGAGAAACTGTGTAGATAGCCATGTAAATTTATGTCAAGGACAGTTAAGCAATGTACAAAATATATGTATAACCGAACACGTATGGTCTAGCACAAAACAAAAAAAAGGAGAAGAAAAAACAAACAAAATATAACTTATCTCTACCATAAAAAACATTATATGACGTAGCAAGAAAAACAAATAGAGCTTTTTAGCACTAGTTTTATAATTTAAATTACTAGGCCTAAACTTTATCCTTTCCGAGTGGAACAACGCCGTGCTCCTTACTTTGATATATTCAAGTAGTCTTGGTTTTACAATGCCTGCAGCAAGGTATAACAGTTATATTAAATTTAAAACTGATTTATCTGTTAAGCCTAAAAGACTTGTAAGAGTTAAGGATATACTTTCTTTTTAGCATATAACAAAAATTTTTTATCTTAAGTTTTTCACACTAGTTGTCTTATGGTTTGCTCCAACTGAACGTTCTTCACACTAGTTGTCTTATGGTCTGCTCCAACTAGAATATCGATTTCTGTTTAAAGTTTCAGGATACCTATTTCTGACTATGTTTTAGGTTATTATTTTGTGTTTAAGGTTTTAGTTATTCTGTGTTATTTCAAGTTTGTACAACACCACTACTGTGAGAAATTAATCGAAAATGTCTCTGAGATTGTATAATTCAATTGGTTAAAATTTCTGAATTTTCAAAGTCTATTCAAAGAAAATAACTATATTTTATGATATTTTTTAACCGTCACTTTCACAGGTAAACACAGAAACCTTAAACAAAAATTAGAAACCTATAACCTTAAATACGAAATAGTAATCTAAAACATTAAACAGAAATAAGTAACATAAACTGTAAACAGAAATTGGTAACCCTAAAACCTTAAACAAAAATTGGTAAATCTATCCTTAAACAACAACAAAAAACAGTAATCTAAAAATCTTAAAAAGAAATAGGTAATCTAAGTCTTAAACAGAAACGAGCAAACTAAAATTTCAAATAAAAATAAATAACCCAACCTTAAACAGAAAATACTAACCTAAAACTTTAAACAGAAATAAGGAACCTAACCTATAAGCAGAAAAAGATTATATTAAACAATAACATAAGCGTTAGATGGTAAACAAAACAAAATAGCCTAAACGTTAAAAAATAGAAACTTTAAATAAGAAATTATATTCAAAAACATAAACAGAAAATAGTACTCTAAACATTAAACAGGAGCTGATAACCTAAATCTTGAAGAAACAAAAACAAATTAAATACTAAACAGGAAACGGTATGGAAAAACTTTAAATATGAAATAGGAATCTAAAGATTTAAACTGAAGTTGGTGATATAAAAACTAACTGAAATCTCATATGAAAATTAAAACTTGAAACATTCAAACTAATTTCACTAATGTAATAAACTTGAACTGATTTTCCTAATATAAGAATTTCAACTGATGCCACTAATGTAGAAACAATTGACTTCAGTATTAACTTCACTAATGTAAAAACAATTGACTCTAGTATTAACTTCACTAATGTAAAAACAATTGACTCTAGTATTAACTTCACTAATGTAAAAACAATTGACTCTAGTATTAACTTCACTAATGTAAAAACAATTGACTCTTGTATTAACTTCACTAATGTAAAAACAACTGACTTCAGTAGTAACTTCACTAATGTAAAAACAATTGACTTCAGTAGTAACTTCACTAATGTAAAAACAATTGACTTCAGTATTAACTTCACTAATGTAAAAACAATTGACTCTAGTATTAACTTCACTAATGTAAAAACAATTGACTCTAGTATTAACTTCACTAATGTAAAAACAATTGACTCTA